GGGGGGGGGGGGGGGGGAGGGGCCTGTGTTCCCACCTCCACTCCAGGCACCTAGGGGCCTGGCTGGCCTAGAGCCCAGTGTCCTCGCTCCGCCACATGTGGCTCCCAGCGGATAAAACTGGAGCCTCATTGCAGCCTTGGGTTGGCTCGGGAGGCCAGAGGCGTCTGGGAGGCCTGTGGTAGCAGCTTCCAGCTGGAAGGAGGAAGCAGCAATTTCCATAAATCCATCCAGGGGCTGGATTCACCTAGCTCTCCTTCCTGGATTCCCCCAGTGTGCTTAAACTTCCTTGAAAGAGGCCTCCTCACCCGCTTCTCTTCCTCCTCCTCCTCCTCTGTTTACAGCAGATGAGGAAACTGAGGCTCAGAGAGCTGAAAGGACTTGCACAAGTCACACAGCTTACAGAGGTGGAGACAGGGGTCTGACCAGGTCTGATAACAAAGCCTCTGTTCGCACGTCAGAATCCCCTGGCTGGCTTCTTAAAACACAGATTGCAGGACACTGCCCCAGAGTTTCTGATTCAGGAGGTCTGTGCTGAGGTCCAGGAGTTCACATTTCTAACAAGCTTCCAGTGAGTCTGCTGGTAATGGTCTGGAAGCCGCACTTTGGGAACCAGTGGTCTGTATGAATAACTAACCTTTCGATGGTGATATGCAGGATCCCCATCATGTTATAGAAATCTCATCTCCTTTGGACCAGGAGACTTTGGGACTGCTCTGCTCTGCCATTAACTTCTGGGTGACCTTGGGTGAGTCCCTTGCCTTCTCTGGGTCCAATATTCTTGTTTCTACAGTAGGGATTTGGATAAGATGATTAGTCCCCTAGAAAAGCCCAGCAGAGGCGGCAGGAGAAAGGATTGGAGTCAGGTAGGCTGGGACTGGCTTCTGATTCTAGGGAGCTGTGTGACCTTGAGTGAGTGACTTAACCTCTCTGTGCTTCAAGTTATTATCTGTGAAACTGAAGCATTAGACTGGGTGATTTCTTTTTTTAAAAAAAATATTTTATTTTATTTTATTTTGTTGATATACAGTATGGTTGATTATTGTGGCCAATTACAGAAACCTCCCTCCCTCCTCCCTCTCCCCCCTCCCTCCCAACAATGTCCTTTCTGTTCACTTGTCGTATCAACTTCAAGGAATTGTAATTGTTATGTCTTCTTCCCCCCCGTTTTTTTTTGTATTTATTTATTTATTTATTTTTAGCTCCCACAAATAAGTGAGAACATGTGATATTTCTCTTTCTGTGCCTGACTTGTTTCACTTAATATAATTCTCTCTAGGTCCATCCATGTCATTGCAAATGGCAGTATTTCATTCTTTTTTATAGCTGAGTAGTATTCCATTGTGTAGATATACCACATTTTCTGAATCCGCTCACCTGATGATAGACATTTGGGCTGGTTTCAACTCTTAGCTATTGTAAAGAGTGCTGCGATGAACACTGGAGAACAGGTACACCTTTGACTTGATGATTTCCATTGCTCTGGGTATATTCCCAGCAGTGGGATAGCTGGGTTATATGGTAGATCTATCTGTAATTGTTTGAAGAAGTTCCAAACCATTTTCAATAGAGGCTGCACCATTTTGCAGTCCCACCAACAATGTATGAGAGTTCCTTTTCCTCTGCAACCTCGCCAGCATTTA